AATTCCATTACAACATGGAACCGTGGGCCAGATTTAAGCCAGCTCCACAGATCCCCACCAGACCCATCTAGAAAATCTCCCTGTTTCATTTGTTCTAACAGGTCTTCGAGGTGGTCATGCGGGGAGGTTTAGTTCTGAGTCGCGTCTGGGATCCACGTGCAGCATGAGTCACCAGTTACTGCACAGGTTCCCCCTCGTTCGGCTAATAACAAATCTAATGCTATTCTATTTTGTAAAGTCATCAGTCTTAGAACTCTCTGTTCAGGAGTCAGGGCCTGAAATCCTTCATCCACCAGGGCTGTCAAGCTCTCTAAGTCAACTGCCAATCTATTGATTTCGTGTGTGTTGTTTGCGGCACCATACCATGGGAAAAGTCCCGTTGCCAGCCTAGTATTGGCAGGTATCCTGTCACGTTTAAACCGCACATGGTGTCTATGTGGGTGTGTGGATAAATTCGAGTAAATCTGAACAGCTGGGATCAAATAGGCTAAGTGACAGCGCCCACACCAACCCTTTGGTAGGTAAAGGTAACTACACTCACCGCATACCCAGACCATATTGGTAGGACAGTCATACCCCAGCGGAGAGGGAGTAAGTAGCGTAACATTTGAGTACCCAGTTGTGGAGCTCCCAAGACCCAAAGCTGTCAGATTATAAACTCCTAGTAGGGGCAACGGAGTTCCAGTCGTGTTATCTGACATGACATAAGGATTTTGTGGAATAGGTCCTCTAGTTGTAGCAGCAGGTATGGTGATTTGGCAGTTGGTGTAGTTGCCCAGGTTGATGATACCATGTTTTTTATTGCATGTCTTGCTGATGCAGAGTGGGGCAGGTGGTGCAAACGCACAGTACCCTTGACTCGTTGCCCATTTGCTTACGGTCAGGTTTGTTCCTATAGAAAAGTGCCCAGGTCCTCTATATCTCATGTGGTCATATGGTTTTGTCCAATTAAATGCTGAATGTATTACTTTTATATTTCCTGTGGTTAGATACATAAATACACTCAATGTGGCATTTATTGGAGCGGGCCATGATGTGAGGATGGGGTTGGTTGGAGTGGAACAAGGTAATTTAGAACACACATAACAGCTCTGATTTGTGTGTTGTCTGGATAATTGGACTGCTGTCTTGTACCACAAATTGTCATGTTCACCCACATGGTCTATCTCGTGTCTACATGATTGATTAAGTTCCTCTTTATTGTTTATTATCAGTAACCGTAGCAGTAACGCTACGACTAGGACAACGACTAGGAATGCACATGTAAAGAACTCACACTGTTGACATCGTAGCCAGTGTCGCCTCCTGTGGTCTCGCTGTCTCTCGTCATCAATCGGTGGTGGCATCTTCCCTTCCTGCAAAAGGTGTAGAAGTCTGTCTCCTAAAAACAGATTCACGAGTTATCAGTTCTTCACTGGGTTTGAGACAACTGCACCTATTGTTCTCAGCTCCCTTTGTAGCCCAGACTTCTCTCTGTGAATCTGTGAGACTGACTTGAGCCCTTTTGCAGTGGGACAGATGAACCCAGGATGTTCTTTCAGCGATTTTGACGGCGGTGGGGGTGGTTAGGAGCACTTGATAAGGTCCCTCCCACCTTGGAGATGACCAGGACTTCCTTTGAATGACTTTTAGGAAGATCCCGTCACCTGCTTTCGCCTCCGGCCCAGCTGGATGGTCTGGTGTTGCTGTAGGAGGAATAACAGAAGAGGCAACTTCTCTTTTTGTTAGCATGGTCTTCATATAATCTGCCAACGTCATTTTCTCATTTTTTCCTACATCATCACTCAATTTAAATTGTGGTATTTTAAATGGTCGTCCAAATACTATTTCAGATGGGCTTAACCCTCCTGTTGTAGGTGCAGTTCTCATCCTCTGCAGAGCTAGTGGTAGACACTAAATCCAACTTTTCCCTGTTTCTTCCATGCACTATTTGGATTTTAGTGTGCCGTTGTTTCTTTCTACTAGTCCAGCTGACTGTGGATGGTACGCACAATGATTTTTTAGGTCTATCTTTAGGTATATTTAAGCTCTGTCCTACTTTAGTTCTAACTTCATTTACAAAATGTGTGCCGTGTTGTCACTGTATAATTTCTCTGGGATGCTGAACCTGGGAATTATCTCTCTTACCAGTATCTTTGCTGCTGTTATAGCATCTGGTGACGTGCATGGGTGTACTTCGATCCATTTAGAAAATAGGTCTATTATTACGAGGCACCATTTTTTACCTTCGCATTTGTTTGATTCAATAAAATTGATGCATAAGTGTTGAAATGGGTGTTGAGGTTGGGGAAATGGTCCTCTTTTCGGTCTCATAGCTCCCTGACTCTTGTTTTTTGCACGGATTAAACATCTATCACAAAATTGTTTAGAGTAATTTGAGTATCCAAAAGTCTTAAACTGTTGTTCTACCATCCCTCCTGCTGAGACATGGCTCTGCCCATGGCTCACAATCGCTGCGTATTTGTGGAGAGATGATGGGAGAACAAGTTTCCCTTCAGGTCACCTGGAGAGGTCGTCATTATCCGGTTCGCAGTGGTGGTTATACCACTTGTGTTTTGTGTTTTTGGAGTGTTAATTTGCATTTCTTTTAGTAGTTCAGTGTCTAGTGTTTCTGGTGTTAATAAACATTGTTCTTTATATGTTTGTTGAGCTGCTGGTTTGGCTGTGCGGTCAGCTTAGATGTGTGTGCAGCACATTTGCAGATTTTCTTAGGTAGTTGTACAGCAGCTTGGAGGTTCCTAATTAACTGTTGATGCTTAATTGGTTTAACTGTAGAAGTAACCATGCCTCCACTGTTCCACTGTGCTGCAAAGGTAGTAATTGTGGAGACAGCATATTGCCTGTCTGTATAAATGGTGACAGTTTAACCTGCGGCTAGTGTGCATGCTGCAGTTAATGCTTTTAATTCTGCAGCTTGTGTTGACAGATGTTGAGGAAGTGGTTTTGCTTCTACTACTTCACTTTGTGTAACGACTGCATAACCTGTTACGTTTGTGCCATATTTTTATTTGTACATCTACGAAGTGTTCTAAATCTGGCTTAGTCAGCGGTGTGTCAGCGAGAGCCGGTCTGGGTAAAACAGCTGCTTCGTCCACTGCGACACAGTCATGGGGGAGTGTGGCTGGGTTTAAACCCACACATCAGCGCTGAAGTCATGTGACCTGCTTTACAGTTCACCATTTGGATAAAAGGTTTTGTATAATTTGGAAGTTGGAGAACACCTGTTGTTGTCAATGTTTGTTTGAGTGTGGTAAAAGCTTCTTCGGCCTCTACTGGACCTGATCTTTCATAGCCATTGGTTGACCAAACACTAACTGTTGTAATGGATCAACGATAGACGAGTAGTTGCAAATCCAGCTTCTGCAGTAGCCTGTCATTCCAAGAAATGACATCACTTGGGCTTCAGTTTGTGGTTTAGGTACGCTTAATATGGCAGATTTTCTATCCTGTACAAGTTCTCTGCCACGTCCAGCAATTTTATGGCCTAAATATTTAACCGCAGGTTGCTATAATTGCAACTTGTCTTTGCTGACCTTATGGCCTTGCTGAGCTCGGAGCTTTAAAAGGGATAGAGTGTCTGTTTTACACTGTCTTCATCTTT